ATCCCCTTTCTCCTGCTCTTCTGGCCTGCTTCTTTGGGCGTCCCTGAGTTTCCCCTCCTCACCTAATCCCTTCGGCTGATTGCTCTTCTCTTTGGCTCCCTGGGTTTTACCCCTTTCTCCTGCTCTTCTGGCCTGCTACTTTGTGCTACGCCCGTGCTTACCTTGCTCCCGGAGACCCGGTCCCTCTCGGGATGGTAGCAAGGGAGCCTAAAGCAATAGGAGCACTAAAAAAGAAAAAGACTGATGATGATTATTCTTGTTCTTTCCTCCTTGGCCTTAAAAAAATCAGCCACAAGGAAGTTTCCTTTTCGCCCTTTGAATTTATACAGGTTTATAACCTTCTACCAGTAAAGAATCTTGTCGGCTTCCCTGGAAGTCTTAATCAGGAGGAAGATGATGGAGACTGTGTCAATCATCATAATGTCTATATTAATGGAATCTCATATTCACCAGTACCAAACACAAATGAAAAAGACATGTATAGCTTCCTAAAGGTAAATTCCTACATTATAGATGGTCAATTCTTAATGTGAGCAAAATATTATATATGGAAAATATTAGTTATTTTAATGCCTTCATAGCATAGTTGAGGATAATGGGACATAGAGAAGTCAAGTGACTTCTCTCCATGGTTATTGATAGTAGTGAGAATAGGTCTGCTGATAATAGCAGAGCCAGGGCTGGAATTGTTTGGACAACTAATCAATTTTTTTTTTTTTTTTTTTTTACTGAAACTGCTTTGTGATTTCAAAATAATTACTATGGAAAGAGTGTAAAGAATAGAATGAAATAATCTTTATAACTATATTGATATCCATTCTACAGATGTGAATGTTAAAAGTTTAATATCAAACTAAGTGGATCATGTTTGTTAAATTCAATGAAAAGAAGTATATGACTATATATATTTTATAATATTTAGGCACTGATTAGGTAATAATTTCCTTTTCAGGATATGGGTTTAAAGGTATTGACCAACTCAAAGATTCATAAACCCAAAATATGCCCACAGCCTCTACAGTATGAAATGCAATCATCCCGAAGATTATTAGCTTCTCCAGGTAAAAACTGAATAATAAAAATTAGTTGCCTAATGTTGAACCAAGTAAAATAATTTAAAAAAAAAAAGATAAAATGTAGTAAGATGAACAAAGAAGGATTTGTGATTCAAATATTTTAAGGTTCCCTGATCAACTTCGCACACCAGTTGTTCTGGTTACCTAGTGCCGCTCTGACAGGAATATACCATAAATGGGATGGCTTGAACAAGCAGGAGTTTATTCTCTTACAGTTCGGGAGGCTCTAAGTCCAAGTTCAAAGTGCCAGGCTCTAGGGACTATGTAAAAGCCCCTCGACCTTAGGCTTCAGCTCTGCCTCTTGCTCCCAGCCCACTGAAGCTAGTGGCATCTCTTCACTCAGGCAGCTACTAAGCTGCTGAGGCTAACAAGCCCAAGGTCAACAAATAAAATAGCACTGTCCCAACATTACCAAACCACATGGCAGACCATTAATTCAGGTCTGTTGAAAGTCCTAAGGTCGGCAGAGCATGACAGGCTCCTGAACAATGACACAGCTACATGTAGGGTTCAAGTGTGCCATAAGCTGGAGACCATTCCCAAAGCTGTTTCTTATTTACAGGAAGCTGACCACATACCCAAAACAGCTACTCAGCTATTCCAATAGATTCCACCATGGAGTTAATTACCAATCTTACTCACCATGAGCAATAACTACATTCAGCTCTCACCCACTCAATCAGGCACAACCAAGTTGACACACAAATGTGACCACCACATCAATACAAACCTACATCTTCTGATTGTGCCAAACACACCCACATATACAGAGCTGGAGAGACTATAAAGCAGATTACAAAAAGTGCTATAAGAGAAGTGCAGGGATAAATTCTGAGTGTGGAATCAAAGAAGTCACTTTTATAAAGAAACTGCACTAGAAAAATGGAAATGTATGATGTAGAAAAATCAACATAATCTTTCCAGGCACAAGATCAGTGAGAGCAGATATAGAAATACTCACAAGGCAGTATGACATCTTTACCAGTCAAGTAAGGAAGCTCTTCAAATTCCCATCTGACCTACAGTTTTGCTCCTATCAGTTCCATGGCTTTTCATCACAGTGAAAATGTTTTTTGACAGAGCCCATGACTAGAAACTATTAAGGAGTAACAATGGTCAGTGCAGCAGAGGGCAAGAGAAGTTTGTATTAGTACGTGATTCAAATGTCCATGACAATAGAGACGAAGAAGCTTCTGGTATGGAAAATATCACAATGAGGGGACAGCAGATTTCAGCTGTTTGGGGATGGGATGTGTTGTTGTTATTGTTGTTGTTGTTTTTCTGTGAATAGAAAGGTATCACTAGGCAAATGGATCACAAAGACAAAATGAGCCACTTGTCTTCATCCAAAATTTCAAATCAGTGCTATTTTGCAGATAGCATGAAACTGAACTTATCTGGATATTTTAGGGAAGCAACCATTATTATTATTATTCCATTAAATTTAATGAGCAGAAAAAAAGAGGAAAAAAAATCATACTATCAGGGAAAAAGGATTAAAACACATTATCACAAAAGTTTGTCTTTTTTGATACAAGAAGTAAGGAAGATATGGTTGCAGCCTGGAAACAGTGAAAGGACTAGGCCCAATTGTACAAATGATACTTATAGCGGATGAAGGAAAGGGGGGGACATTATCACAAACAAAGGAAAATGGGTTGATTGTAGAAGAGTTCTAAGGGAAGATGAAGCAAAAGTAGCTGTCTGGAGGAGTTAGAGTGTGGCTGACATGATGACAGGTACAAAATAATGGGTGACCTCATTGAATATGTGATGCTTAATTTGCTGAGAATAAGGGCAGCGAATTGAACCAGTATCCAGTGAGGAATTTTAAAAATAAGAGATGCAATCAGAGGCTAAATTATGAAGGAGAACAAAGAGCATGTGAGACTGCACTTGCAGAATACAATTTCCAAACAAAATAATACAGAAGAAACCTATTTAAAAGAGATATAGGGAAAGAATTTATGAAACTGTGGTAATCTAGCAAATGAATTGTAAGATTATTTCTAAAAAGCAGAGGCAATGGTGTGCTGGAACCGGCTCAGAAAAGCTCATAAAACCTAATTAAGTTTCAGTAATCTTGCAAGTCAATTGTTTAAACACAGCCATTATGTAGAATTAAATTATATAAAATTACAAGTAATTAAATTATATTAAAAAGAAAAGTAGTAATTACCCCAAACTCCATGGTTCTTATTTCCTTTGTTACATTTTACTATTATCTGTGCTCTTGATGTTATATGCAACTATTTTATCTATCTGTATGGTAAAAATACTATATAATGGTGGGCTACTGTGCATTTCTTTCCAATCCACATTCAGTAACATCACATTAGGATGAATTAGGCTATGAGTATTTACATCATGAAATCAGCAAATGCTACAAATCAGGCCTTGATTTACTGTAGATTTCTAGACTTCTGAAAATGTTTTAGTAAATGTTAACACAGATTAAATTTAAACATATTTTATATTACATTGTGGATAGCACAAAAATAATTGAAGAACTATTCCTCCCAGTATTCAAAACTGTTAATCAATTCAGTAAAGTTGTCGCTCACACCACTAACAAATGAGTTCTGATCTACATCTTCATTGTTTCACTTTCTTAATGTAAATAAATTATCAGCTTGAATTATACATGTAAATGTTAACATGGCAAATATTGTTATATATATTCTTAATCACAATTTTAAAAGATCAGCCAATATTCATGTTGGAAGACAGTGATGTAAGCTACTTCTTTGATGAATCAGATAGTAATCAAGCATTTATTTGTAGTATGATTTTGTATGTATGTATATATAAATTGTTTTTCCAGAAAGTGGTTTTTCAACATTTACCAGCATATAATTAACAAAAGGTAAATAGGGTGAGGGATGCTTACTCTGCTTTTCTGACATAATATAGAGAGGCATTTTTGATCCTGAATTCTTTCACTCCTGTCAACTGGTGCCCAAAGCTTCTGTCGTGTATCTGTTTTACAATTTTTCTTTGTTCTCACACAGGACTACACCAAATCGAAAGACTCCTGCCTGCCTTCCTACGCCATGTCATAGCACTCTACACTTAGCACAATGTGCAGAAACTGTATGAGACTCCTTTCTGCTCCACAGACAATCCAAGACCCTTTCTACATTGAGCCTGTACCTTCCCTTCTTGTGGTCTTCTACCACCTTGCTCACCTCGAGCTTAATCTAATACTTCAGCTAAAATATCATCTCCTCAAAGAAGCTTTCTTGACCACCCTATCCAAGTGCCTTCTCCAGTCTGCTTCATCACCCTGTTTATTCATTTTGTACTGTTTATTACGACCTCTAATTAGCTTTCTCTTTATATACATTTTCTTTTTGTCTTCTTCCTCACTCACCATAGCTGCCTTTGAAATGCGAAGAGCCCAAAACTTTATAGAATTGGAAGAAGATTCAGCAGTTTCAGACTCTCACACAGAGACTGTGCGGAAGTATTTCCCTGAGACATGGATTTGGAACTTGGTGGTAGTAAAGTAAGTAATTTCCTTTTTACATAAGATGCAATGTAAAAAAATCCCTCACAATTTTCAATTCTTAGCTAATTTTTCAATATCCAAGCATATTTTTTTAAAAATACCTGCTGTTCTTAGAAAAGGCTTAACATAAATATTTCTGATTATACCAGAGCTAAGAAACTTTGTACAAATTTAATTCTAAGACTTCCAGAAAATGAACATAAGGACTAAATATAACCAAGCACTGCACAGATTAACACCCAAAAGCAGTCGTTCATTGATCCGCAATTTTGAGTTCAACACAGAACTAGTGAAGCCAACTATACGTAGTAGTAAAACTAAAAGTTATAAATCTACCTTCAGTCAAACAGTATTTTAAAGAATTTAAGAAAAATCTCAAATTATGTATTTAGTTTGTAACTATATTGTCTATTATAGATTATGACATTAGGATCTATTGGGGGTCTTTTCCTAGAGAGATAGTTATCTGCCTTCTTTCTGTTCCTCACATTGTCATCTTCCCCAGCTCATCAGGTGCAGCTGAATTGGAAGTAACAGTCCCTGATACCATCACCCAGTGGAAGGCAGGGGCCCTCTGCCTGTCCAATGACACTGGACTTGGTCTCTCTCTTCCTGCCACTCTCCAAGCCTTCCAGCCCCTCTTTGTGGAGCTCACAATGCCCTACTCTGTGGTCCGTGGAGAAGCCTTCACACTCAAGGCTACTGTCTTAAACTACCTTCCCAAATGCATCCGGGTAAGGATCTTTTTCCTAAATTGAACACAAGGTAAAAAGTAAATTAAAAATTACATTCCTAGGAATACTGATAAACTCCTGTATACAGATGCGCATGCCAGAGAAGAATATTATCAGAGAGATATGCATATGTTATATAAGCTACAGTTGCTACTATCTCCAAATACCAAATTGCAACTTGAAACAAGTTTCTGATCATTTATGGTTATGGAGTTCATGTATTACGAAGATTTATGACATGGATATAAAAAATCAGGACTCTTCATTCTCATATCTTAGATTCTCCAAGGTTTCAACCTCTACATTTCCATGTAGTTAATTTTTCATATAACATTAATTATAGTAAACCATATTTTTAGAAAGTTATTTGGGAGCAAATCCTGTGTACTTTGCTGGGAAGCTGAGGGAATGACCAAAATCCTAGCCAAGGAAATGAAGCTCCCACATGCAACATACCATGGTCCCCTCTTCTCTGGTCCTACCACATAAAAGAGCAGGTTACTCCAAAATACTAAGATTTATGCTTAAGAACCACCTATAAAGTATTCAAGGAATTCTGGTAGCACAGTAACTAAGGCAACTACCAGAAGGTTGGTAGTTCAAACCTTCCAGCTACTCCACGGAAGCAAGACTGGGCAATCTACTTGCATAAAGATTTACCACCTCGGAAACCAATGGGGTTGCTATGAGTTGGAATCAATTAGAAGGCAGTGGGTTTTTTTTGTTTTTGTTTTTTCTTTATTCGGTCTTCACCTACATCAACTTGAACATTGTTGTTGCTGTTGTTAGGTGCCATCAAATCTGCTCCAACTCATAGCGACCCTGTGTACAACAGAATGAAACACTCCCCAGTCCTGTGACATCTTCACAATCCTTGCTATGCTTGAGTCCATCGACATGGCCACTGTGTCAATCCATCTTGTTCAGGATCTTTGCCTTTTTTGCTGACCCTCTACTTTACCAACCATGATATCCTTCTCCAGGGACTGGTCCCTTCTGATAACACAACCAAAGTATGAGAGACAAAGTCTGGCCATTCTCATGGCTAAGGAGTATTCCAGCTGTATTGGAATCTTTCATTTGTTTCCTCTTCTGGCAGTCCTCAGTATTTTCAAAATTCTTTGCCAACACCACAATTCAAATGCATCAATTCATCTGTGATCTTATTCATTTTCCAGCTCTCATATGCACAGGAGGATCTTGAAAATATCATGGCTTGGGTCAGTCACACCTTAATCTTCAAAGTGACATCTTTGCTCTTTCACACTTTAAGGAGGTGTTTATAGCAGATTTGCCCAGTGTAATATGTCATTTGATTTCCTGACTGTTGCTTCCATGGGCAATGAGTATGGATCCAACTGAAATGAAATCTTTGACAACTTCAATCTTTTCTCTATTTATCATGATGTTGCTTATTGGTCCAGTTGTGAGGATTTAGTTTTCTTTATATTGAAGTGTAGTCTATACTGAATACTGTGTATAGTCTTTGATCTTCAGTAAGGGTTTCAAGTCTTTTTCACTTTCAGCAGGCAAGGTTGTGTCATCTACATATTGCAGGTTGTTAAAGAGTCTTCCTCCAATCCTGATACTATGATCTTTTTCGTATAGTCTAGCTTCTTGGATTATTTACTAAGAACACAAATTGAATAAGTATGGTGAAAGGATACAAACCTGACACACACTTTTCCTGATTTTAAACCATGCAGTATCCCCTTCTTCTGTTCAAACAACTGTCTCTTGGTCTATGTACAGGTTCCTCGTGAACACAATTAAGTGTCCTGGAATTCCCATTCTTGACAATGTTGTCCATAATTTGTTGTCATCCACAGAGTCAAATGCCTTTGCATAGTCAATAAAACACAAGTAAACATCTTTCTGGTGTTCTTTCAGCCACGATCCATCTGACATCAGCCACGTCCCATGTCCTCTTCTGAATCTGGCTTAAATTTCTGGCAATTCCCTTTCTATGCAATGTTGCAACCAATTTTTTTAATTATTTTCAGCAAATTTTTCCTTGTTAATGATATTGTTCCATAATGTCCACATTCTGTTGGATACCTTTCTTTGAAACGGGCATGAATATGGATATCTTCCAATCAGTTGGCCAGGTAGCTGTCTCCCAAATTTCTTGGCATAAGCAAGTGAGGGCTTCCAGTGCTGTATCCATTTGTGTTGAAACATCTCAAGGGATATTCTGCCAGTTCCTTGAGCCTTGTTTTTCACAATTCCTTCAGTACAGCTTGGACTTCTTCCTTCAATACCACAAATTCTTGATCATATGCTACCTCCTAAAATGGTTGAACAGTGACCAATTCTTTTAGTACAGTGACTGTATTCTTTCCATCTTCTTATAATACTTCTTGCATCATTCAACATTTTGCCCGTAGAATCCTTCCATATTGCAACTCAAGGCTTGAGTCTTTCTTCCCTTTCAAAGAAACTTAACTTGAGAAATGCCAAGCATTTCCTTCCCTTTTGGTTTTCTAACTCCAGGTCTTTGCATGTTTCATTATAATACTTTACTTTGTCTTCTTGAGCTGCCCTTTGAAATCTTCTGTTCAGCTCTTTTATGTCATCATTTCTTCCATTTGCTTTAGCTACTCTCCATTCAAGAGCAAGTTTCAGAGGCTCTGCTGACATCCGTTTTGATCTTTTCATTCTTCCCTTTTTTTTCTTTCCTGTCTTTTTAATTGCCTTTTACTTTCTTCATGTATGATGTTCTTCAAGTCATCCCACAACTTGTCTAGTCTTGGATCATTGGTGTTCAATGCATCAGATCTGTTCTTCAGATGGTCTGTAATTCAGGTGGGATAGACTCAAGGTTGTATTTTGGCTATTGTGGACTTATTTTAACTTTCTTCCACTTCAACTTAAACTTGCATATGAGCAATTGTTGGTCAGTTACACAGCCTGGCCCTGTTCTGACTGATGATATTGAACTTCTTCATCATCACTTTCCACAGATGTAGTTGATTTGATTCCTGTGTATTCTATCTTGTGAAGTCCACATGTATCATCACCCTTCATGTTATTGAAAAAATACATTTGCAATGAATAAGTTGTTGGTGTTGCAAAACTCTATCATGTGATCTCCAGCATCATTTCTATCATCAAGGCTGCATTTTCCAACTACTGATGCTTCTTGTTTCTTTCTCATTCCAATCACCAATAATTATCAATGCACGTTGATTGCATGTTTGGTCAATTTCAGACTGCAGAAACTGGTAAAAACTTTCAATTTCTTCACCTTTGGCTTTAGTGGTTAGTGCATAAATTTGAATAATAGTCATATTTACTGGTCTTCCTTGTAGGCATATGGATATTATCCTATTGCTTACAGCATTGCACTTCAGTATAGATTCTGAAATGTTCTTTTTGATGATGAATGAAACACCAATCCGCTTCAATTTGTCATTCTCAACATAGTAGGCCATATGATTGATTCAAAATGGTCAATACCAGTCCATTTGGCTCATTAATACGTAGGATATTGATCTTTATGCATACCATTTCATTTTTGACAGCTTCCAATTTTCCTACATTCATATTTCATACATTCCACATTCCAATTATTAATGGGTGATTGCAGCTGTTTCTTCTCATTTTGAGTCATGACACAACAGCAAATGAAGGTCCCAAAAGCTTTACTTCATCCATGTCATTAATGCAGACTCCACTTTAAGGAGGCAGCTCCTCCCGAGTCAAATTTTGAGAGCCTTCCAACTTGAGGGGTTTATCGTCCAACACTGTATCACAGAATGGTTCACTGCTATTCATAAATTTTTCAGTGGCCAATTTTTTCAGAAGTAGACCATCACATCCCTCTTCTTAATCTATCTTGGTCTGGAAACTTCACTGGAACCTGTTCACCATGGGTAACCTTGCTGGTATTTGAAATACCAGTGACATAGTCTCCAGCATCACAGCAATATGCAAGTCACCACAGTACAACAAACTGTCAGACATGGTGGATCTTCAGTATTACTAAAAACTCACTGCTGTCGATCTGACTCATGGCAACCCCTCCTTGGGTTTCTGAGGCAGTATCACTATGGAAGTAGATTGCCCAATCTTCCTTCTGAGGAGTGGCTGGTGGGTTTGAACTGCCAGCCTTCTGGTTAGCAGTCAAATGCCTTAGGCACTACACCAACCTAAAATTGATCTAATCCTTCAATACACTTTATTTCAAACCCATTCTCCCTCTGGCTTCCTTTTCCCTCTGATCTCATTTATCTCTTTGTCCCTTGTGTGGTTTCAGGTCCATGTGGAGCTGCAAGACTCTCCTGAATTCCTTGCTGTCCCAATGGAGAAGGAACTAATATTTCACTGTGTCTGTGGGAATGGGCGGCATACTGTGTCCTGGGCAGTAACTCCAAAGTCATTAGGTGAGGGACATTCTCCTAGACACAATTCTCTGCTCAAGGATTGTATTAATCAGTAGGAGCCTTATATCCAGTGATACTTACTCTTTCCCTCAGGCAAAGACTCCATGTGGTAGGGTTTTCTCTTTTTCTTTCATTTTTTGGCATCTAGAAAGACAGCACCACTTCCCTCAACTCCACCTCCATATTGGATTCTCAGTATCATTATCCTCTAGTTTTTGCTGCTTCCATTCCTGTTCTGTTTTTATAGAAAAGTGAACATTTATAAATCTTAGGGTTTGGAGACATGCAGCAAGAGGGAATTGGTACTCATTTCTGTTGGCCTCTTTTTCAGGGAATGTGAATTTCACAGTAAGTGCAGAGGCACTGGAGTCTCGAGAGCTATGCGTAACTGAAGAGCCTGTGGTTCCTAAACAGGGAAAGAAAGACACAATCATCAAGGGCCTGTTGGTTGAAGTAAGTAAGCCTTCCCATTTGATAGATCACACTAAGTAAAAAAAAAAAAAAAAAATGGCAAACCCTGTTGGGGTTCCAACTTTTAGGTAAGAATAAGGTTAAATAATATATGGTCATGGGATATTTCATAATATTATTATTCTCCTCACTCTGACTCTCTCATAATTTTTTATTCTATTTTTCATCTATTAACCTGTCTTCTTCATATTTCTTAGGCTTGTGGAATTTGTTTATTCAATGGATTTGAAAATTAGTTCAAATTCTTCTCTTCACTATCAAGAAATCCATGGTTCCCCTATTATGGGGAAAATCAAATCCCACTCTCACTTCTCTGACATCAAACTGTAACAATCAATTGCAATCAATCTCAAATCAATTCTGTTCTCTTCCATTCTGCTTCTGTTATGACACCAGCTGCACATGCAGCTCTTCTTTCTCTGATCCTAACCACCCAGAACTAGGTGGTTAGAGAGCACAGTCCTCCAGACTGCCAAATCTACCCAAGATTTCAGATTTGCCAGCTGAAAGCTTGAGAGTCTCCATGACACCCTTACTTCTGCCTTGCAGACCACAGATTCGGATTCCACTATCCATTCAGGATTCCAGCCATAAACTTGGTGGTCCCCAGTTGTTGTTGCTGTTATGTGCCATCGAGTTGGACCCAATTCATAGCAACCCCTCCTTGGGTTTCCAAGGCAGTATCACTACAGAAGTAGATTGCCCCATCTTCCTTCCAAGGAGTGGCTGGTGGGTTTGAACCTCCAGCCTTCTGGGTAGCAGTCAAGTGCCTTCAGCACTACACTACCAGAGCTCCTATGGTGCTCCCCAGAGTTCCCCCTAATTACGGCTCCTACTACTCCCTAGGGTTCCACTAGAATGACTCAAAGAACTCAAGAAAGTGCTATGTTTACAATTAGAATTTTATTATACCAAAGAATACAAATAAAGAGATGCATAGGGTTCCCAAAGTTTCCATGTCCCAAAAAAGGGACACGATACTCTCCCATATGCATTGATGTTTTTTCACCAACAGGAGGCCCATGAAGCTTCTATATCCACAGCCTTTATAGAGGCCTCATTGATTATCCCCACACCTCCCTGAATCAGCTGATAGCACATGGTGGTATTTCCAGCCTGGCCAGCCCCCACTCAAGAGTCATCTCATTAGCATAACTTCTGAGTATGGTCTGGAGGATAACAAAGGCATCTCAACTATATATGAAATTCCAAGGTTTAGAGTTATCTCCCAGGAACCGAGGACAAAATACTTTATATAAAGCAATTCTTTATCCCACAGCTGTCAACATATACAGTCCATTCTTACTTCTAACTTTTTCTTCTTCCACCTCAAGCCTGAAGGACTAGAGAAGGAAACAACATTCAACTCGCTACTCTGTCCATCAGGTAAGAGTAAGCCACAATTAAAATAACAATGACTAAAATTTGTATAACATTTGAAGTTCAAAGAACTTTTTTATATTACTTCTATTCTTGTCCTTTGAGGTAAGTAAGACCTGAAGTACTACCAATACTTTTGACAAATGAGGAAACCGGTTCTAGAGAGGCAAGTAATTTGATCAGAAGAATATTCCTAGCTCATGCATTATATCACCACCCATCTGTCAGTTCAAAGTACAGTGGTGGCTTGAGTGTTGCTATGATGCTCAAAGCTATGCCAACAGGGTCACCCATGGTGAACAGATTTCAGCAGAACTTCCAGACTAAGACATCTACAAGGAAAGGCTTGGTGATCTACTTCCAAAAAGTAGCCAATGCAAACCCTATGGATCACAACAGACTACTGTCTGATAGAGTACTGAAAGATGACCCCTTAGGTTAGAAGGCACTCAAAATACACAGTAGGTGTACCAATGGACTCGATCATAGCAATGATCATGAAGATGGCACAGGATTGGACATTTTATTCTGTTGTAAATGGAGTCACCATGATTCAGAGTCAACTCCTAACAATAGCAACATGCATTCTCAGACTTTAACTCTTGCACTCACAAAACTCACTGCCATTGAGTGGGATCCAACTCATAGCGACCCCTCCTTGGGTTTCCGAGGCAGCATCACTACAGAAATAGATTGCCCCATCTTCCTTCTGAGGAGTGGCTGGTGTGTTTGAACCACCAGCCTTCTGGTTAGCAGTCAAATGCCTTAGGCACTATGCCACCAGAACTCTCAGCACCAGTGAAAACACCTAAGTGTCTTTCTGAGCAGTGCTTGATGTAGATATATGTAGAAAGTGGGTGAATCAAAATGAATATGTGCCAAAGAAGATACTTCCTTGAATATTTAGTAATACAACAAAAGGATATCTGACTTGAAGCCATTCAGGCTGACTAATTTTTTCATAGACAAAGTTTTTTATAATGGGGCTGTGCTATTTCCCAAAGTACAAGTTGTCACAGCTTTTACCATTATTGTCATATGAATATTTGTTGGATGCCAATTCTGTACCTATTTCCCTATCAGTCATTTGAGAAAAGACTAAAGAAGCTTAAGTAAAACTAACTTTATCTTGATGGAGAATTTTCTAGTCTAAAGCAAAATCATTTCTAGAATTTAGTACATTACTGTATTACAATGGGTTCTCACCCCAAACCTGTGTCAAACATCAGATATATGTTCTTTGCCTTTCTCTGGCTCCCTATTAACTTGTTTCTGTGTTATTTTTTAATATTGTTGAGACTTATAATATGTGAAATGAGTTTTAAAAGCATAATTGCCTGATAGTTTAATCTCGTTTCTACCTTTAAGTGAATTTAGTGCTTACCATCCTAACTCTTTTATCATAATTTCTCCTCCATTTCTGAATTCTTCATTTTGATTTCTTTCTCATGTGTCTGTGGCTAATCATCAATTAGTTTTATCAAATTAATTTTAATTACCTACATAACATAAAAATACATTCTCCTCCAGAAAACAAAACAGAGTATCATATTAAAGACCAGTCACTCCCTTGCAATCATTTCCAATAGAGTTAACAGTGTACTTCTCCCCTAAATGTTGGGTCATTATACCATCATGAAGATGTCCACAATAAAAATTTCTCATATGCTGAGTCCTAGATTCCAGATTTTTCATCAGCACTTTTACTTTAGAAATATAAGCATTTAAGCATCTTCCTTGGACAACCTTTTTTAGAGGTTCCAGGCTTCCCCTTCATCCTTGACTTTTGAATCTAACATCCCTAGACACTCAACATCAATGTCTCCAATTACAGACTCTTTGTAGAGCCTATAGAGTTCTTTCAACTCTTCATAATAGGGCCTTGACTTCAGCTTCCTCACATCTTCTGTGGCCCTGTCAAAATCAGCCTGCAGGGTCATAGTGGTGACAGATTGGCTGCTGCTGGACTCTGCACTGTGCTCTCATTCCCTAATTTTATTATTATTTTTTTTCTTTTTAAATAAGCAACTTCCTTAGATATCTACCCATGTTGTATGATAGGTCAATGTCATTCCTTTTAATTGCTAAATAACATTCCACAGTTTCAATATACCATAATTCTGTTTTGTGTTTTAGTCATTCCCATATTTGTTTCTCTAACTATTTGCTAGTAAAAATAATAATAATAATAGCTCCCTTGTGTACATTTGCAGCTACAGCTAGGGTAAATACCAAAATAGAAAATTGCCGAGTCAGAGGCAGTATACATATTCTTCATTTTAACAGACTGCAAAATTCTTTTTTATTACCTAAACATATTTATACTTCCACCTGTATACATTTACCTGCACTATCACCATCACTTTTTTATCATCAAACTTTTTAATTCTTTCAAAAATTTGTATCAAAATACATTGTTGCTTTAATTTGTATTTCCTTAATCACAGGTGAAGATGAGCTTAATTTTTGTAGGCTTACAAATTACTTTCACATCCGTTGCCAATTCATGTTTTGGGGAGTTTGCCTTTTTCTTACTGGTTTACATGAGCCGACTCTTTATCTGTTAAAAAAATTTGCAGATATTTTCTTAGACTTAGTCATTTGTCTTTTAAGTTGGCCTGTGGTGTCTGTTTTCTATAAAGCTTCTAATATTAACTTTATGAGGAAGGGATGCAGCAGAAAGATCAAAACATTTCTCTCTTTTTCACCTTCATGTAATTCACTAAGATTAAAATGGCAGTAGTGTATGTTCATTGTTGTTGTTGTTATGTGCCTTCAAGTCGGGTTTCCAAGGCGATATCATTACGGGAGTAGATTGCCCAACCTTCCTTCCAAGGAGTGGCTGGTGGGTTTGAACTGCCAGCCTTCTGGTTAGCAGTCAAGTGCCTTAGGCACTATGGTACCAGAGCTCCCATTAGCAGCAATTATTTTCTTTTCAACAAATTTAATACTACCCATATTCACTCTCCACCCCCATTGCTAGGTCTTCCATAAAAATGCCGTCATTAAAATATGATAGGAAGGAATGACATAGCATTATTGTAGAATTCAGGAGCATTATGGGGATTCTGCTTTTTGCTGACAGTTTCTTAAGATTCGTGAAAAGATTAAGAGGTTGAGAATGGGCACTATCTTGCAATTACCATTTTTTGATAGACATAGGCTGACTGCAACAGAATCACAATATCAAGGGCTGTAGTCAAATGGTTGGGGAAGAAGATGTGGTCTGGAAGTTCCAGAATCATAGTCATCCAAAATATGAAAAATTAGAATATTAATAGAGGGATAACTTTTCAGGAGAAGTTTAGATCTAAAGTATAGTTCTGGATGTCTTCAGGAAGATATATAGCAGATACAATTTTCATTACAGTTGATTTGTTTCTTTCTCAAGGTGCTGAGGTGTCTGAAATATTATCCCTAAAGGTGCCACCAAATGTGGTAGAAGAATCTGCCCGAGCCTTTGTCTCAGTTTTGGGTGAGTTTCCAGCCCCTAGGGAACTTGAGCATTAACTTTCCATTGTATTTCTCTTCCATAAATACTCAAAATAGCAATTTTTAACTTCTTTCTTCTTTCCTTCTTTGGGCTCATACTTCTGTCTCTAGAAGACTCACCCTTACAAAAAAAAAACCTCATTTTTTACCTCTGCTTATTATTCACATGTTTCTAATGGTTGTGTTAAATTCAAAACTCTAGGTTTTATGACCTCCCATCACTCTCATTTCCTAGGAGACATATTAGGTTCTGCCATGCAAAACACACAAAATCTCCTCCGGATGCCCTATGGATGTGGAGAACAGAATATGGTCCTCTTTGCTCCTAACATTTATGTTCTGGATTATCTAAATGAAACACAGCAGCTGACTCCAGAGATAAAGGCCAAGGCAATTGGCTACCTCGTCACTGGTGAGTGGCTGAATGACTGAATGAAAACTTTACAATGTTATTTTCACTGATTTTTCTCAATAAGCTTAAGTTTACTACTTATCTCTAAGTCATAATACTATGGTAGCTCATTTCATGGTGACTATGCACTATTCAAAGGAGCTCTGGTGGTATAGTGGTTAAGGCTTCGGCTGCTAATCAAAAGGTTGTTGGTTCCTACTCAGCAGCTGCTCCACAGAAGAAAGATGAGGCAGTTCTTCTAAAAGTTTACAGCCTTGAAGCGCAATGGGGTTGCTATGAGTTGAAATGGACTCAATGGCAATGAGTTTGGTTTGGTTTCAATCTACTGTTGAACTTTCAATAAAATGCTCAGAGCTCAGAAACTTCTAACATGACAATAAAAGTTAGGAAAGGTCACAAAAGAGGCCAGGGCATTTTAGTAACGTCTCCAGCACAAGCAGGTATATTAATCTATCATGTCATTTCATTAGCATTTCCATTCCAGGTTACCAGAGACAGCTGAGCTACAAGCATTCTGATGGCTCTTATAGCACCTTTGGGGAGAAATACGGCAGGAGCCAGGGAAATACATGGTAAGGGAAGGACAATGTTTTGAGCTCCTAATTTCGTACCAGGTCTTCTCACAACAACCTTATCCAATATGTATTACTAGATTTATAGTTGGTTATACTAGATAAATATACCAAGATTAATGAAATAATAGCAGAAAAGCTGAGATTCAAATATGTATACATTAGACTTGTTCCCCAAATTAATTCTGATAATAAGCTAGTTTTTCTAAAATAGTTCCCATTACCATGAGGTTTTGTTTTGTTTTATGACATGGCCAGTGAACATATTGTCAAGTTCTTGATAAATCTGAACAATTACAACTTATATTAGTTTTTTATGTCATACTCCTCTGGACTGAGAATAGACTCACTAACTAACAAAGGAGCTCTGGTAGCATAGTGCCTAAGGCACTTGACTGCTAATCAGAAGGCTGGCGGTTCAAACCCACCAGCCACTCCTCGGAAGGAAGATGGGGCAATCTACTTCCGTAGTGATATTGCCTCGGAAACCCAAGGAGGGGTCGCTATGAGTCGGGTCCGACTCAACGGCACATGACAACAACAACAACAACTAACAAAAGAAAAGAAATTAGAAGTAGGCAATGATATGAAACATTTTATTTTAAGTGTCTGTGGCAAAGAAATAATGGAAGAAGCTATTACATATAAGAGCTGCATATGAGAAGATTCTATCATCTACAGAAAGAAATCTCTAAAGAGGAGAAAAATTCAAAGCTTCACTCAAAAAACTAAAAAATAAGTAAAAATTGAAATCCTTAATAGACTCCCTAGAGTAACCAGAAAAGAGATCCCAGAACTAGCAAATTAAGCAAGTGATTTAAGGAAGATGGGAGCTCTAAGTACACAAGCATTACTTTTAGAAGATTCATACTAATGTAAGGATTATCAGGCAAAGCCTGTTACCATTGTAATAACATAAATACATTCATCACCCCACTCTTTGTATCCTCTCAGGCTCACAGCCTTTGTACTGAAGACTTTTGCCCAGGCTCGACGCCACATCTTCATTGATGAAGTGTACATTACCCAAGCCCTCACTTGGCTCTCCCAGAAACAGAAAGACAATGGCTGTTTTAGAAGCTCTGGGTCACTGCTCAACAATGCCATTAAGGTGAACTGTTCCCAAAGCTAGGATTGATTTGTCAGTGGTGATGTCTGCAAGGGTGATGAGAGGAAGTAATAACAGAAATCCCTAAGGGAAGGTATCAGAGGAAAATAAAACCTGGATAGCATCAGGAAGGAAGGATGGAACTGAGGTTGGTTTTGATATTTAGCCCCATAGTAATAGATATGGGTAAGGGCAGATTCTATGACACAGCAGAATAGAAAGAGCTGATTAAGAATATTCTTACAAGTTGAATTACTCAAATCTCTCTCTCGCATATTTACAGGGTGGAGTAGATGATGAAGTGACCCTCTCTGCCTATATCACCATTGCCCTTTTGGAGATTCCTCTCCCAGTCACTGTAGGTACCATCCCACTCCCCTGATGAAGCATACATAGTTCTGAATGCAATGAAACTGCTGGCATATTGTCTGAAATATCATCTTACCAAAAGCCAAGTGTCATTCTTCCTTCTGTGCAATGCCAAATGCTTCCCAGATGAATAGAGAATTTGGTCAATTCATCAGAAAAGATTTATACTTTCCCAGTTGATTTTTGATTAGTGATGTCCCTAGGCTATTTCTCCTCTTCCTCACCACCACCAAATATACATACATACATACATACATACAGATAGATAGATAGATAAAAGTGTGGCCTCTACTTTGACTTTTTTAATATAAAAATGCTGTCGTTGTTAGCTGCCATGAAGTTGCCCCATCCATGGCAACCTCATGCACAATGGAATTAGACTGTTGTGATCCACAATATTTTCACTGGCTGACATTTTGGAAGTAGATCACCAGGCCTTTCTTCCTAGTCTGTCTTAGTCTGGAAGCTCCCCTGAAACCTTTCAGCATCATAGCAACACACAGCCTATAGTGACCCACGGGTAGTGGCTGTGTGTGAGCTGTATTGGTCAGGAACAGAACCAGGGTCTCCTGCACAGAAGGAAAGAATTCTCCCACTGAAACACCAACACACTCAATGTGAAAAGAAAAGATAAAAAATGCTATTCTCTCTATCCATAAGAATGAGGATAGATGGTCAAATGCATTTGAAAAACATTATTGCATCCTTATTAAGATCTGTGTGTTTAGTTAAAAATGCCAGCATCTCTGTTCACATAGTTCAGAGCACCTTGCTCTCCCTTCACAGCACCCTGTCGTCCGCAATGCCCTGTTCTGCCTGGAGTCAGCCTGGAAGTCAGCCCAGGATGGAGCCCATGGCAGCTATGTCTACACCAAGGCACTGTTGGCCTATGTGTTTGCCCTGGCAGGTAACCAGGACAAGAGGAGAGAGGTACTCAAGTCACTTGATGATGAAGCTGTGAAGGAAGGTGAGTACACTAGCTGAGAGCTTTCTCCTATCCCACATCCTCTGCATCATGAACCACACTGAAATCCCCTACTCCTACCTCCTATAATCTCTCCCCCATCTCTTTTTCTTTTCTCTGTCTCATTATAAAATCTAGGATTTCTTTATCAAATCACACATGAAGAAATGAGTGGTAGTATAGTGTGGTAACTATCAGCTCAACTTCTGGAGACTGCCTGGGTGTGAACCTTAGTATGTATAGGAAAGTCACTTACCTTGTTTGTGTTTCAGTTCTTTTATCATTAAAATGGGGATCATAATAGCATTTTCTTCCTAGGGTTGTTGTGTATAAAAGGTATAAAATGACTCAAAACATGTAAAACTCTTAGAAGAGTGCATGGCACACAGTGAGTACTACAGAAGTATTAGCTATTACCAAGAGATCAGTTGTTAATAGATACCCAACCCTTACTTGGTCCATCATATCATTTTAAATATAAGGAAGAAATGACGGATGTAACCTGTAACCTCATGTGTAAATTCTGATATTTTATGCTTTAAAAAGACCAATAATGTTGACAAATGTACTCATACTTACATAACACTTCAACATATGCCATGGTCTATAGGAAGGGTTGAAGAGATAAAAAATAAAATGCAAATAATATGTCAAACAAAATATTTTCTACTTCTTTTACCAGTGTTAATAATTGTTTATTGTTAAAATAGTTTGGGAAATATTTCAGATATAAAAAAGGCATAAAAAATAAATTGATAAATGCCTACATATCTCTCTCCCAACTTAAGAAATAAAGTATTACCAATGCAGTAAAAATTCCTGTGTATCCCTTCTGCCCCAAGATGTAAGCATTAGCCTGAATGTGTCATTACCATTTCCATAGATTTCCTTATATTATTACTACATATATATATACACACACATATGGGAGCTCTGGTAGCATAGTACCTAAGGCACTTGAGTGCTAACCAGCCACTCCTTGGAAGGAAGATGGGGCAATCTACTTCAGTAGTGATACTGCCTCAGAAACCCAAGGAGGGTTCGCTATGGGTCGGGTCCGACTCGACAGCACATAACAACAACAACTATA